ACTCTGATATTTTACGCTTGACACAGACATCGATAACATTTAGAAACGTGTTAGTATTTTGAAGGTGTGGTTTTAGCAGACAGGAGCCTTTGGAATTGAACAGATTTCACGATGTTAGAATGAACACTCGGCTGTACACTAGGACTGCAATACTTGTCGACCAGGGGTCTGTTGTCAGAAACAAAATTTCTTTTAAACATTAATCCTAACGTTAACTTTTTATCATAGACCGTTAACAGAAACATTGTAAATTTATGAGTTTCTAACACGCAGTGTATATAGACGTCCTGTCTAAAAGAAAAAAAGTTAAAATTAAGACTAATTTTGTTTTTGACAACGGCCCCCAGCTTTCCGTTGCTCGTGGCAACCGCCGATTGCGCCCACATTATCTCCTCATGATCGACCCTTTGTTGAAAGTGGTCTACCGTATACTACCAAAAGCGAATCAAAAACAACGGCTTTATTTTAACGTGTAAACTGAAACTATTTCCCACTCGCTCCTCGCACAAACGACGAATCGAATGCCCGCACACACGCACGAATCATTATAATATCTTCACAGGTAAAATGGTACCGCGCTACGAAGTCCTTCAACTCAGAGCAGATCGGTCCGGGAACCTCGTATCCTAGATACTCCCACGTGGACGCAGACTACGCGACGTCGGGCAACTACGCGCTGCTGATCGACAGTCTGGTGTTGGACGAAGACAACTTCAATTGGAAGTGCGCGATCGTCGTTGCGGGGACTACAGACGAGATCATCTCGGAAGAGGCGTTTCTTACCGTCGCAGGTACGCTCTGGTAGTCAGGGGTCGTCCGTTGTCGGTCATATATACGGTTCTAACCGTCAGGGGTCATATATACGATTCTAACCATTAGAAGCCCTAGATTGTCAGTCAGATATAGGGTTCTAAGTTCTTACGACTATCTACGCGAGTCTAAAATCTCACAACCTTTTCTTCGACGACGCTTCCCTTCAAGAAGTTTAAAGAAAACCTAAAGAAAATATAGCTATATATGAGCTATAAAATTATCCAGAAAAGGAAGACCGATAACATTGTAAGAGAAGGTGGGGGGGGGGAGGTTATGGTCCGATAAAGAACGCAGTGAAATCTTGTACAGAAGAGGAACCTACGGTAACTTTGTCCATCAAATAAGACAGGGTGTGTAGCTTAATGGAAAAGGTAGAGAAACATTGTACAGTAGAGGAAACCAGAGTAACAAAACGGAGGGAAGGTTCAATCACATAGATTATGTCACTCACTTATGGTATTATGCCACTCCTGACAATAATTATGTAATACCATTCCCTGATAACATGGTCCGGAAACGTGTACAGAAGAAATATAATCCAAAGGAGAACGATGAGAATGATAAATCAAAAGAGGACGCAAGCCGCAAGGGGTACATATTCCAGAATAAAAGGGAATGGGCCAAAGTAGCACAGTAGAGTATAAGCTAAGTAGAGGCAGGTGACTATGACCCGGAAAAAAGTAGCAACCAAAAAAGGTATAGAAAAGAAAAGTAGAAGAACTAGTAAAAAATAATTGCACGCAATTGGTAATATAAAATTGTGAATAATAATAATGAAATATGTGGTATTTCACTATTATCGCATATTTCATCGTTTCATTCTCTATACGTTTCTTTGCAGTCATGCCTTCGTCCATGCACTTCTATTACAACACTGAACTTTACAATGACGGAGGGGAAATTCAATCAAATATATCAATGCCGTTTGAGCTTGAGTGCAAGACGACAGATACAAACCCAGAACCCAGCTTTAAATGGTCGAAACGGAATAGGGCGACAGACGTACGTATAATGTATTGTATTGTATTGAAGTGTATAGTGTATTGTATTGTATTGAAGTGTATAGTGTATTGTATTGTATTGTATTGTGTTGTGTTGTGTTGTGTTGTGTTGTGTTGTGTTGTGTCGTGTCGTGTCGTGTCGTGTCGCATAGCATAGCATAGCAATACATAGCATAGCATAGCATAGCATAGCATAGCATAGTATAGTAACGTGTGTCATTTATTTCGCCGTTCGTAGGAAATCACGGAGATCACCGAAGGCGTGTCGGATCCGTTGGGGGAAGCTGGATCGCAGCCCAATCTCTATACTTTCACGAGTCATCTGAAAATCGATAGTCTCGACAGAAGCGAGGACGACCACGACTTCATCTGCGAGATGGACCTGGGACTGGACGATGCTATTGATATGGAGAACGATACGGATACCGATGCTTCTAACGGAACGAAGTCGATCTCTATAAAACTGGGAGTATACGGACGTAAGCGTGTATATATATATAAGTGCGGTCAAGGGG